ATAACTATTTCACAATATAAAATTTCAGCATACGATCAAGTCGAAGTGCACTTTGCTTGGCCTTTTTGTGGTAAAGCCATCTGTATTTGATTAATTTTTCTATTTCAAAAACTGTTTGATGCAAACGCAACAACAATTAATGTGCATACGATCAAGTCGAAGTGCATTTTGCTTGGCCTCTTTGTGGTGTAGCCATGTGTTTTTGATTAACTTTTCTGTGTCAAAATCTGTTTGATGCAAACGCACCAACAATTAAAGTAAATGGATAAAGGCAAGGTAGTTTATACTGTATTGTACCGATCGGTACAGCTAGTACATATTGAATTTTTAGGTGGATCGAAACAGAATAAGTTAAAATTTTGTTTCGATCCAAATTTGAAAATTTTGGTCAAATTTCGACATACCGGTCGAAATTTCATGTATCAGTCGATATATCAAAATTGGACCGGTACATTATACAAGAATTAAAAAAAAAAAAAAAGGATTCCCTAGCCAAAATAACGTCGTTTTGGCTAAAGGTGACTTCTTCTTGACTTGAATCCTGCAATTTTAGATCGTACATGCAGATCTCTCCTTTGTTGTCCAGCATCTAGCCGATCTCTCCTCTGTTCTCCAGCTCCAGCATCCAATCACTGCTTTCTTTCCTTAGGCTTCTTCATTGCGATTTTAGATTGCAGATCTCTCCTCTATTCTCTAGCATCCAGTGGTCCTTGAGGCATGAGCTCCACTCCTTACAGGTGGTCAAGCGACTCCAACCGCTGTTGGCGATCTAGCTCCGACCATTACTCTCTTTTCCACTACTCTCCAACAGCCCAGCTCCATCTCAAGTATCTTCACATTTTCATTTTGAGGTTACTTTTTTACTGATATACATACATATCAAGTTTTGTAGGACAATCCTTGAAACTTAATCGAGTGAAAAGGAGAAAAAAAAAGTTCCTTCATCAACCAAACAAAAATTTCGTTTGTATTTTTATCAATAATAAGTATTGTCAGCATGACAATGTTAGCTATTCTAGATTTGGATTGGATCTCATTTGCTTTCTTCTTTTATTACAATTGACTGCATTAGGGTGCATCTACCAAAATCTTGTTTCAAATCTATAGTATTACCGTGTTAGGAACTAATGCCGTGCCTTTCATTTTTACTAACTCAAAAGGTTTTCTCAAATCTTGTCCCTAATTATATTAATTTCTCTTATGATTATTTTAAAATTTGGTCTTTAATTTATAAAAATATATATTTATAACGATAAATTCGAAATGGTATGTAAAAAATTTTGGTATTTAGTACGTACTGTTTCAGTAGTTAAATCGATATGTAGAGTGGTACGATATTGACTACCTTAATTAATAATTTTAAAAATTAATAATTAAATTAAAAATTCTTTTTATATGAATTATATACATTAGTTTTTAAATTGAATTAATAGGTATAATTATTTTATTAATTATACAAAATTTAATATTATTAAATATATTAATAAATAATTTTTTTAATTAAATAATTATAAATGTTAAATTTATGTGATAATTGACATATAATATATATATGAATAGAATTTTCAATTTAATAATTGATTTTAAAATATATTGATGAAAAAATAAGTTTTTAAAAATGTCTCAAAAAACAAATTTAAAAAAAAAAAACTTATAAAACACTTTTATCTTATAATGATAATAACCATAACAATAACTATTTCACAATATAAAAATTTCAGCATACAATCAAGTCGAAGTGCACTTTGCTTGGCCTTTTGTGGTAAAGCCATCTGTATTTGATTAATTTTTCTATGTCAAAAACTGTTTGATGCAAACGTAACAACAATTAATGTGCATACGATCAAGTCGAAGTCCATTTTGCTTGGCCTTTTTGTGGTGTAGCCATGTGTTTTTGATTAACTTTTCTATGTCAAAATCTGTTTGATGCAAACGCACCAACAATTAATGTAAATGAATAAAGGCCATTATTCTGAATGTGACTTGCTGTCCTCCACTCCTCTCCACTCTCCTAACTCAAGCAAGATTTTTAGCAATTCACATGTAATGCGTGAGGACTTTATTATTTTTCCATGTGGAAGTGACGAGAATTAAATGTAAACAATAAAAATCACATGAATTGAAATGGTACATCAAGTTCCTTACACGTCCAATTTTAAATGGTAGCATTCAATCCACCTAAAGTTGGGAGTCCCATTTTGTAATTTGTTGTTTCAATTTTTGTTACCCATTTCTCTTAATATTGTTGGTGACTCTAATCATATCTAAACTCTTCAATAACAATTCTAAGCAATTAAAATTGAAATACTAAAAACATTCATTTAAAATCTTCGTTTAATTCAGATAAGATCTTGGTAGGGGTCAAATTCGATGAAGCTCGTTCATTCCAATTTATGATCTAGCAATCGAATACAGAGGTAAAAGGATGTTGTCGGTGACACCGATTATGGCTTGCACGGGAAGCATGATATTTAAGCCGACAAAGGGGCTATAGTATGGAGGATCGGCAAAAAAGAACAAGATATTGTTGGTGAGGCCGATTGTGTTCTGCAAGGGAAGAATCATGTTAAGGATGGTCAAGGGGCTCTAGTTCCCTTAACAAGTTCCAACAGAAAGGGTTTGAAGAGGATTGGAAAAGATGGGAAACATGGTTGGGAGCACCTAGAGAAGACTGGGGTGCCTTGTGCTTGCACAAAAGGGGACCATGCCCTTTCTTCAATTGGTTAATTTTTAGGAATAGATAGGGTGGCAAATTGCAGGTTAGGGACTGTTTATTGTCGGAATCTCCTACTCTTCTCGTGAAGTTGATTAAATAGGTGAGGACGTCCAATAGCTTCCAATGCTCATAGTGACTTTCCTTTCTATATTAGTAGTCCTATTTAGTTCATACAACGATTGCAATTGTAATTTTTAGTTACAGATGATTCTCTTTATTTAATTGTCTATATTTGTCATGGACATAGTTTAAATTTGTTATTAGTGCTGTAGGTTATGCTTCTAACTTTATCTTTAGGTTATAATGCTTTAGGCTATATGCCTTGCAATAGAGTTTCTTCTGTATTTTTTTTATTATTTAATATAATTTCACCATTTCCTATCAAAAAAAAAAAAACCTTCATTTAATTTATTGAATTAAAAGTTGGCTATATATTATAATACATGCAAAACCAACATTAAAACTAATTAATGTTACCGGACTTGAACTTAAAACATTGAAATTTTTGTATCTCCTACACCTTACCACTATTCAAATATCATAATTTAACATTTACATATGAAATTAAATAAAAATGATTGAATTTAAGGCATCAAATTTGAATATTTCAAATTTAAATCTTTAAACAGTTGTTAAAGGATTTTAAAAAATGACCATCTCAATTCTTAGTTTATATAATTCACTAGAAAATGTAAAATTCAATTGTTTCTTTAAAGGGATTGTTGTACACGGAATGAGGGGAAATGCAAGTTATCTTCTTGCATATCCCAAAGATGAACTTCACTAATAACAAAAAAGAAAGGCGATTTGCAGAAGAAAAAAGGAATACTTTTGGATCCTTCCCAAGGGACACAGGAATTACTCGGAAGATGCTTATATTAAAGGAAAAACATGTGATGGAAGCTAAATGCTAATTTGTCAACAAAAACATAAATGGCAAATGCGTCGACCTCCCTCAGAATCTGCAAAATATTCGTCTATATCTTAATACTCCTATCTCAGAAAAGGAAAAATAAAATTACTAGTACACCCAAAGTCTAGGCATGGTTATCGCTAAAAATGATCTCATATCAATAAAAATAATTGATTATTATAATTGATAGTTGATAATTAATATTGATTATTTAATATATTAAAATTATTCTATCAAAATATATATATTAAAATTACTCTACAAATTAATGTTTTTAATCATTATAACTAGTTATTTAAAAAATTATAAATTAAAGTTTTATTTAATATAATTGTGAATTTTAGTTTTTAATTTTAATTTTTATAAATTTTATAATTACTAAAAATCTAAATTAAAAATAAAAAATAAAAAATATATTTAAAATAAATTTTAATACTAACAATTAGAAATAATTATTTGTCTAATAATATTAAGATTATTTTTATTTTTATTTTTTAATAATCATAATAATATGTTATAAGAACATATAAAAACAAAAATGTTGTTGTTTAAATTTACAAAATTTTTAAAAACTACAACTAAAAACCCAAAATAATAATCACACTAAATAAAATTTAATAAAATCAACCAAAAATCAACTAGATCAAACATATATAACATATACCATAACTTGTCAACTATCTAAATAATTAAGTGGTAATCTTCTTCTGTTGGAATAAGAAATTTTGAATTCGAGTCGTATAGCATGCATGTGAGGTGAGATAAGAGATAAAAAAAAAATTATTTTTCGTTATGCTACGAATAAAAAAAAAAAAACATATGCCATAACTTACGTGACAATAACGATGTTCTTGTGTGACAATAACCATGGTCCGCAAGTCAGTAAGCTCTGTACCTAACTTGCCTCTCATCAAATTTCCTATGAATACCGTATTAGCTGACTTGGTCCACTAATAGGCGGACTGAATGATACTTTAAGCCCCTGAGTGTTTATAAAAGTTAAATTTAAGCTCTAGAACTTTTTAGGCAAATGTAAGCTCTCAAACGATAGTTGTTATTACTATTCAGATTTTTGTTATGGTTATATAATTTTATTGATATTTTATTAATTTAATTATTAGAAATAATTGATATTTATTATTTAATTAGTTAAAATTCAAAAACCATCATCTTCATTCAGAATTCAAACTCATTTTTTATCTTATAAATCAAATGAGGGTTAGATTTATTGGTAAATAAATATTATCTTATAAATCAAATGAGGGTTAGATTTATTTAATAAGTTAAAATTCAGAAACCATCATCTTTATGATTTAATAACTATGTTGAGAGGGGAACATAGAGAAGGGGAATTGTATTTTTTTCATTTCCCTTCATTCTTCTCCCTTCTATTCCCCTTATTTGGAAAAGTAAATAAGTTAAAAGAAAAAAATAAAGTAAAAGAAATTCTTCCACTCTCCCCCTTTCTTCCAATTCTTTGATAATCAAATAGAGAAATTTTTTTCTCTTTTCTTCCCTTCATTCTCCTTAATCCAAACAAATTGTTACGATTACTATATTTTAACTTCTAATAAAAAATTACAGAAGTTTTGATGCAAGATATTTAATTGAGTTTTTAATTAAAAGAGAAAAAATAGTAGGAGGTCATGAATTTCCATTATTCCTCCTTCTGAATTTCTAGCCAATTAAAATGTTGACTCAAACTTGAGCTGAACGAAAATATTGAAACCAATTTTCTTTTACATTTGAGCAAATTTATGGCTTATATGCTACTATAAAAAACTGAGGGCTTAAATTTGAATTTTATAAAAGTTTAGGAACTTAAGTTATGTTTGAGCCTTTACTAGTGCAACTGACCCCATGTGGAAGTCGTGTGCCGCTTTGGACACGCTCCTTTCTTGTTCCCTGTGCCTCTTCATTTTTATATAACTCTCCCTCCCGCCTCCTCGTCCCCATCATCTTCAAATTCAAGCTCTTCCTCTTCCCAGAAACCGAAAAATTTCCACAGGCAAGATGTCGAGAGCCACCGTGGAGCTCGATTTCTTCGGCATGAAGAAGGAGAACTCTTCCAAGTCTCAGTTCCAGAAATTCCTCCACCGCCGGCGAAGCTTTTGCGGTTAGTTCCACTTCCAGAAACGGATTCGTTACTGAATCTTGATTTTCGGTTGTTTTTCTGACATTTATGCTGTTTCATGTAGACATTAAGAGTGCGATTTCGAAGATCAATCCGGAGCTCATCAAGTCCGTGATTGCGTCTGGTTCTGCGAACCAGATTGATTCGAAAAAGTCATTTTCTGTGCCTTGTACCCCCACCGATCTAGCTCCGAGCTCCTTCTCGGCCTTACCTGTTCTCAATCCTGTTTGCAGGTACCGAATCCTTCGTTTCTGTTCTTCTTCCCTGATTTTTCTTCTCATAAAGTTAATTTTAGATCATTAATGTGAAATCGTTTTGTTTTTCGTATCTTCAGGACTGCATCGGAGAACATTCCTGCTCCTGAAACCGCTCCGTTGACAATTTTCTATAACGGAACGGTAACCGTGTTCAACCTCCCTCGGGATAAGGTTTGTTTGAACGTCTTTCTTCATTTTTTTTTTTTTGTTTATCTTTTAATTTTTCCTGTAATTTTTAATATGATTATTAATTTTTTATAGGCGGTGAATATTTTGAAATTTGCTGTTGAAGGATGCCCCAAAAAGGTCGAATCGACCGATTTGGAAATCGCGGTTCCGTCAAGCGACCAACAACAGTTTCTTGAATCTCTTGATGGAGGTAACTAATTAAGTTCCTGCTTAATTTGTTTTCGGTTTCATTTCTTTTTCACGCGAAAAAGTACAATGCGGAAGGATAAATTAGATTTGCTATTTTCTGTATATTCATGAGATCTTTCTAAAATCTTACTAAAATCCTACTTTGGATGTTTATCTTGTTATGCAGATTTGCCAATTGCCCGAAGGAAGTCATTGCAGAGATTTCTGGCGAAACGCAAGGAGAGGTACCTTTCTTCACCTTGTTTGTGAATTGTGAGCCAGGAATTTTAACTTTAAAAAAAGAAAAGAAAAGAAGATTATTTAATACATTGAATTACATGCATATTTATTTTTTGGGAGGTTACATTATGAGGTGAAGATATTTGTTCTTGCATTTCAGACTCTTTCTATAGATTTCTCATGAACAATTTTGTAATTATTTATCTAATTAATTTTAGAGAAATTCCAAAAGTTGAATTAGCATTCTTTTTTAATTTCTAGTAAATTTAGGAAGTAAAATCACATCTATAATCTAGGGGAATAAAATAAATTTGTGAGTCTGAAAGCTTTTTATTCATTAAAATCATGATATAATGGATCAGAGCAAGCAAATGGATAAAATTGCCTTTGCCTGTTCAAGATGTGGAAATTGCCTTTGCTTGTTCAAGATGTGGTTTTAATTTAGTCACGTGTTAAATGCAAGGCGTGAGATATGGGTTTACCAAGTATGTTTGGTCTGTGCCCCCTAAACCAACCCTAAAGTAAAAGTCAAGTCCTTTGATTTGAATGACTGCGTGTGTTGTACAAAAACAATCCACCGAAAGGGATTTTAGAAGCATATGGTTTTGATAGAAATGGCACTTTAACACGCCTAGTTGACAATGTGAAAATCTGGCTTTTCAAAAAATATTTTCATAGTTTGTTGATTCCGTGCAAAAAATGCCAATGGTAGTAGTCTATATCATATCTAGTAATTATGGGCAGAAATGAGCCAGGCTGCTAAGAAGTTATTTAGGCTTGACCTCTTTAAAACGCTTGGATAGGCTCCTTCGATTAATAAACGAGCTCATTAAGCACAAGCTTCATATCAATATCAATTTAACAGCTTAATAATTGGAGCTCAACATCTTGTTACATTATTCAGCTTCAAAGCCTCACAAACTTATTTATCACGACTTGTGGGAATATAAACTTTCAAACAAGACAAAAAAGAGTGAACATTAAGTCCTTTGGAAATATCTTTGTTGTTGCCGTTGGCAAGATTTTAAATAGTTGCTGAAATAACACGCGGTTTTGCTATGAATACAGGTTGTCCTCGGTGATGCCTTATGCATGTTCCACCTAAAGACGCGTTTCTCCTACTTTCTGCTTCCTACCGGCCTGTCAAGCATAGTAAAGAATATATAGTTTATATAGAACTGCCTTTTTTATCCATGTGTATGGATTTAAGCACTTAATTTATATAAAAGTAGGGCTTTAAGTCATTAGGTTCATGGAATAGAATGGCTTAGACGGTCCAGCCATTTGCTTTTTAGTGATGGTGTTTTGGCATTTATTCAATGCTTCCTTCGCCTCACTTTCCTAGCTTGATTATGAGGACTTTGAAGCCATTGTTTAATTTATTAGTTGGTTGAAAATCACATGTATCCTGAAATTTCCTTTTGGAAGGTCCCTTGCTGTGACTTCCATTTTTATATTGTAATGTAATTTATTATTAGCACGTGTTTTTTATTTTTGTTTTGGAAATTTGGATAGATGTATATATATATATATATATATATATCTGGTTGGTACGAATATGAATGCAGGTCTTGCTTTTATGGTGCAAATGGACCATATAGACGCGTTTGGTAGGATATTATTTTATGCGCACCATGAAATTTATGTTCTTTGGAGACAATGACGTCCCAGAAACCTTTTGGTACGCTAAATCTTCCCCACCTTGTGATGCCATTTTCATCTCTAAATGTCTTGGAGACACTGTCTTTCGTGTTCAAATATTTTAATCAACCCATAAAAACTTAAAAATTAAGTCTAGGCATGCTATTTAGGTTATCCCCACCACTCATGTCATGTCCCTGGGTTCAAAATTAGTCTAGGCATCATATTTTAGGAAACTAACAATTTCTGTAAACAAATGGCTAATTTATTGTAATTGTAGGGTTTAAAGGCTTTTTTTTTTTATAATTTAAGAACTCATCTACTAAAATGGGATAAGTTTGACAGCTTGTAAACTGGTTTTGCCTTCAAAATTTTATAGTGATGGCTCAGCCTCGAGCTTATTGAGCTTTGAAGTATTGAAACTTGAATTTGGTTCAATAAAAAAAAATTTTGGTTTGAATTTGACTTGATTAAATCAGTTATAAAATTTTTAAAAATTATAATACTTTGATTTATATTAAAATTATTTAAAAACCTCTTGGTAGGTTCATTTAGTTCAATTATTTGCGAAGGCAGGTGTTGTCTTCTTGAGCTTGACTCCATTAAATAATTGAAGGCTCCCATAATTGACCTCAAACTCGAATAGTTTAGTTTTATTTTTTTCCTTTGTTTATACAAAATAGCTGATCGGTTCTCTCAACCCTATCCCTGAAATCATTTTGGTCCTAGTTTGACAAAAATAAATAAATAAATAAAAATTAAGAAAAAGTAGTGGCTAAATAATTTGAGAAACAAAAGACCAATTAGGTTTGCATTTCTTAATTCTTATCCTATTATTTGTACTGTTGTAGAACAGAAAAATGATGGAACACATCACAAGATAGAGGGACAATGTGGGTCCAAGTTGGGTCCCGGTCACCGGATAAGGATGTTGGGATTTAGTCCATGTCAGTTTATGCCTACAGCCTGACTCAAAAAGAGGCTTAGAAGTTTGAGTCCTGTTCCCTGTCCATTGTCTAGAGTCAAAGAACTGCATAAAACACACAAAACAGATGAAAAACAAGTGATTCTGGTTACTGTGAGTCTGTGACTGTTAAATTTGTTAAGGAAGTTAAAATTATTCAAATTTTATTTTAATTTAGTTATTAAAAATAATTAAAAATTAATAAAATAATTAATATTTATTATTTAATAAAATAAAATTAATTTATAAATATATATTTTTAAATATTATAACTAATTGTTTTCAAAAAATTAATAAATTACTAAAATTATAACTAAAATAGATGATCTTAATAAAATATTTGTTGACAATAACTTTAGTAAAAATAATTACTCTTTTTGTTTGAAAATATAAATTGTTTAATTTTTTTAAAATATTATTAGATCATATTTTTTTATAATATATAAATAATAATTAAAAATTTTTAATTATTATTTATATATTATAAAAAGATATTATTTAAAATTATATAGAAAAGTCAAAGGACCTGTAATAATTTTAAAAAGAGGGAGTAATTCTTTGCATCAGTAAAAATTGGCTAAAGGCGTATAAAATTTCGTGTGTTCTTCCCTTTTTTAAAATTATATCAAATTTGTATTCTTCAATTTGTACCATATATTAAAAGCATAGTATGGTTTATAAATTTATTAAAATATTTTAAACAAAATTATTTTATATATAATTTTATTAAAAATATTTTAATAAATTAAAAGTATAATTTGTTCTTGTAAAACACTTTTTCTATATTTTATTAGTTGGTGCTAGTAACTAGTGAACTCTTGTTCTCTATTAATCTAAACTATAAAATGAAAATTATTGAATAAAAAAAATTCATAATATTAGGAAATTTATTTTTTATTTAATAATTTAAGTTGTTTAATTTAATGTAATTTGAATTGCACTACATTTTTTTATAATAAATTTATGCTTTTTTTTTAATCTTAGGTTATACAATAGAAGATAATTCTCTCTCATCCTTTAATTCATGTTACTCCATGCAATTTGAATTTAAAATCTCTTCTTCTCATTAAAAAAGATTATTATTTAACTATTTAGGTCATTGACAGTAAATTTATGCTTCAATTTGCAATTACATCACTATACTCCCTTCATTTTAAAATAATTTTCATTTTTGAGTTTGGATTTGTCTTAGACTAATTTTTTGTTTTTTCATTTTTTAAAATAGATAAATGTTTTTTTTTTTTTATAATTTAACCTAGACAAATATTTCTTTCATAGTTCATTTATTTTAATAAATTATTTTATCAAAAAAATTATGTTTTTATCTTTTATTTTTTTAAGAGTAATATAAACAAATACATAAATTATATCAATTTTAATTTAAAAATAAATAAACAATAATTATCTTAAAATAATAAAAGTATCCTCAGTGACTAATAACTGTGCTAAGCATCCAAGCAGGTTGGATATTAGGTTTATATTTATGGCACTCAAGTAAGTACTACAGTAACTCTATGTTTAGTTTAGGGAATGGAGGAGAAGGAAAGAAAGAAAAAGAGAAAATTTTCCCTCTATTTTCCTACATTTCCCTCCCCCCTCCCTTTCTTCCTCTCATTTGGATAAGTATCTAAATTAAAATAAAAAGAAAGTAAAGGAAAATTTTCCCCTCTCCTCTCCTCTCCTCTAACTTTTTTGATAACCACATAGAGAATTTTTTTCCTCTTCTCTCCCCTTCCCTTCATTCCTCTCAATTTAAACATACTGTTATCCCAAAATTTTTTTTCAACATCGGACAAGTGAAACGACTTGTCACTTGCTTTTCTCAGAACAAGAAAGATTTTTTCGATGACCCTCTTTTTTTTTTTAATCGTGGAACTTAATTATGAGTTGATGGAAGAATGTCGTAAATTGTGCTTTAATGATTAGATGATTGATAGAAACAAATGATGAACTTTTAGCACAAAATGGGTTAACGACAAAATGCCTTAGATATGTCTCCAAGAACTCCTCCAAACTAAGATTGCAAAAACGGTAAATGATTGCCAAGTTATTGAAAATCTTAATGAATTTTAAATATGTAAATTAAGTTAAAATAAAGTTTTCAAAAGGAAATCTAAATACAAAAAAACAAATTAAACTAAAGTAAATGAAGTTCGAAACATGGAAAATTCCATCGACAACATGAAACAATAAAATAGAATATGAAATAGAATATAAAATTGAATATTGACTTCACTTGATTAATTAAAAAGAACTTAGGAAAACAATAAAGGGAAGGAAGCAATCTGATTACAAAGAACTATCATTGAAGGCAACAAATCTTACCACTACAAACCAATAGAAGGGGAACTGAATTGCTTTCTCATAAAACTGTAACTAATTTTTGGGATTTCTAAAAGAAAAGGCATTGAATTAAGATTGAAAACTAATGTAAATTAAAGCATAGAGTTAACACTAAACTAAGGGGCTTGAAACTTAGATGAATTTGAGCATTAAAAGAAATAGTGCTAAGGCTTGCTATGTGAGAGGCAGGTTTGTTTTACTTGATTTCATCTCTATGTATTTATAGTAATAAACACCTTTTGGCAACATATTGAAGATTGACGATAGTATCTTAAAACCTATGGCAGCATAAAATTTGCAACAATTCAATTAATCTGCTGGTGCTATCGATTATGCACTTGAAAATTTGTGACAAATGAATGGTCTTGTTGATGATGTAGAAACAATCACTGAACTTTATTCGAGAGAAATCAATATCAACAAAATAATTTTTCAACAAACAAAATACTTACCAACGTGAATGACGTAGCACTATTTTATTTACTACAAAATTGGGTGTTAACACATACCATAAGTGTTAAAAATTTGAAACGTAAATGTTTTAGTTATTTATTATAATTAATTAATTTTAATTAATATTATATATATTTTAAATAAAAAATAAAAAACCTACCTCGGCCAACACACGCACTGGGCAATCTCAAATGAAACGAGAAACTGGGCGTTGAACAATTTCCGGCCCAGTATCAGTTTTGACGTTAGCCCCCTAAAGCTGTTAAAAAATTTCAGTTAAAATCTTCACCGTTTGATTTTTGATAAACCGCCGAATTTTGAAAGCCCATCGTAGAACGGCCCAAAACACAAAATCACCCACTCCCAACCCAGCCTTTTCCTTATCCTACGGACATTTCCCAAGCTCGCCCTCAGCACGCAACGACCCCGCATTAATGGCCGCAGAACTACAGCCACAAGACCCACCACTCGTCTCTCCCTCAGCAACAGAACCAGCCGCAGCGCCACCAGTGTCGCCACCAATTGCCGCCGCCGCCGCCACCGCCGCCACTGCCACAACAACTACAGTATACCAATCTCAGCAAGAGCATCCTGGCCCTCCCCTTACCTCCAAGCGCCAACGCCGCCCCAGTGTTCGATTGGGCGAGATCGGCGACCAATCCTCCGATTCTCACGCAAGGCGTACCAAGCACCCACAACCTCCCGGGCGCTTTTCCAGAGATACTTCCTCCTCAAAATCTGTCAAGGCACGCTCTCTCGTCAATCTTGTTAACGGCGACGCCATCCAAGAAAACGAAGATAACAACCAGAACGGTAACAACAAGGAATTTGTGCACCGCAAAGCAAAAGCCAGGAGAGGCACCATGAAGAGAGTGCGATCCAATTGGATACCAAGGCATGACGATGGGGCGGAGAACAGCAGAGAAGAGGGAGAAGAAGGGTTCAGGGACTTCGATCCGGACTCGGATAGTCCATTGAGAGATCAGAGCCCGCTCCATTCCACCGATAACGTGGCGGCGATAGATACATGGCACCGGAGACCGGGTTCGCGTCCCGGTCGAGCTAGGGTTTCGGATAACAATGCGATGGAGATGGATAATTTGCCGGAGTCCGACAACGATCGGAGGTGTGGCAGGAGCGAAGGAGTGAGGACATGGCTGATTGAGTTGGGATTGAGCCGATACGCTCCCGTTTTTGAGATACACGAGGTGGATGATGAAATCCTGCCTTTGTTGACTCTGGAGGACCTTAAGGATATGGGAATAAACGCTGTCGGGTCCAGAAGGAAACTATATTCTGCTATCCAGAAGCTTCGAAAGGGGTTTTCGTGAGTTTTCCTTTTTCTTCTTCTACAACTAATTCTCTAAACTTCTTTCCAGAACACCCATTTCATGGCTGCAATATCGGATGAAAGGAAAGAAAATGCAACTCTGAAATGGTTTCAGTGACTGTGTGTTATCTTTTTGCGCATTAGAGTAATGATAATCTGATTTTTCAGTGGTTATATATGTTTTTTTTCATATGAACTGATCCTGTAAGAATACCCAATTAATAGAATTTGCATTTTTGTATTCTATGAGATTCATTTCCTATATGGTAATCCATAAGAATGTAGAATTTGCATTTCTTTATTTATCAATGAATTTTAGTTGCATTTGTATTATCTCTTTTTTGTTTTTCTAGATTCTTGTATACTTAGCATCAAATTTGTACGCCTTTGAAGGATTAAGGATATAATGAAAGAACTCCGACGATGGGAGGGTGGGAGTTTCTTTTGAAGCTAGTGTATTGAGTTAGAATCTCCCAAGCATCAGTTTTCTTCTATATCATGGTACTGTTTCTCATTTGGATTTTGTTTTCTTTGAAGTTGTGGTCTTTCCTTTTGATGCTTTGCTTAATTTGTTTCTTCTTTCTTCCTTTTTCCCTTTCTATAAATTTGCATTTCAAGCAAAACTTTAAGTAATTAAGTTATTCCACTTCATCATAAGGAGAGGAATTATGTTAGAAATTTTTTCACTCTATAAGGAAACTTAACTAGTGGTGGGGAAAATGTTGTGCCAGAGGCTGCCAAGGAAGTTTTCTTCCTTATGGTCTGCAGTTGCTCATGTCATGACTTCATGCCTTCTTGCACAGAAAACCATATTCAAAATGTGAAAGTTGCCTTTAATATGTGGTCTCATATGGTAATGCGGCTTCTTTTTTTTTTTTTTCTTTTTCTTTTTCATGTTTTTATTGTTTGCTTTTGCTGCTTATTGAAAACTTGATTGCATAAATTAATGGAGCGCTGGGTTAACCTTTCAGCTCTTATATCAGTAAGTTTTCTCAATGCATTACTAACTTACTTCCATGACATGTGTTCTTCCTTTTCGTTTTAAGTGTTACACAGTTTTCATTTTAGAATCGTAGCATTGGGATTGAAGAAGATAATTCAACCAGTATCAACAATGAAATACATGCATGCCAAGATTGCTGGGTTTTGTCATGATGAAATTAGTAATTGCCAGTTAAATATTATGAAGAGTTTGCTGTTGTAGGCTTGCATTGATTAGCCAAGTAGCGCTGTTGTAGGTCTTTAGTCTTGATTTCAGCATTCTCATGCTTCAAGTAGTGCTGAATGGTGATTCAGGTAACAATTGAGTTGTATTTGAGTGACTGTTTTAATTATCAACACCTTGTTTCTTGATTATTCTTTTGATTCTTCACTTAAAAGGAGTGTAACTACTAGCGTCAGTGCTATGTGATGTTCATTCTTGTTGTTTATGAGCATAGCATGTGTGAGAAAGAAGAGATAATCATTGCTGAGAGACCCTTTTCCTTTCTGTTCTCTGTCTGAGTGGGGATTGTTCAAATGCACAGGCTCAGGCTTGTAGACAAAGCTACTCTATCTGTATCGCTTCAACGTAGAGGTAATATTCATCATTCCATTAGCGTCAAATTGGCAGAATAAAGGTTTTGTTATACTTTCACTTTACTGGGCCAAGCTGTGGTGTAGCTAGAGTCCCTAAAATTTTATTATGTTTCTGATGCCCTTTGACACCTGATTGGCATTTTCTCAGGAAATATTGCGTTGTTTCCTTCAGCTTTTCATGACAATGTATGGTATTGAATGTGATTTACGCTTTCTACCTTCAAGAGGTACTTTGTAATTTTGCCTGTTTTGATTGGCAAATGATTCTAACTTTCTCATCAACAGCGAAAGAAATTAGCTCTTAATCCAACTCTTTGTATGCCATGGGATCATTCTGCCCTATGATTTATGTTTCACATGAATATTTTTCATGTTTATCTTTGCCAGCAAGTGAAAAGTTCCACTATATGAATGGGAAAAGTGTTTTCTGCAGGACATTCCTTTTATTTATTTATTTATTTATTATTTTATTATTTTATTTTATTTTTTTATCAAGGGCAATTTTTGGGGAGAGGGGAATTGAACCCAACCCATGGGGTGGGTGGTACACACCATTACCAATCAGCGGACAAGGTCAGGTGTGTTGTAGGACATTCTCTTAGAGCACGTCTAAAAACATTATAATGTAAGGAATGATAATGAAAAAATTATGAAAAAATTAAAATATTTTTAATGAATCAACCCACAAAAGATTCACTAGGAGGCTAATTAATTTCATAAGTAGTTTTCACTTTTTTCTTTAATTAATATTTTTAAAAGTTAACTATTAGATTAAGGTCCTGTTTGGTATAACGGTTTTGAGGTAACGGTTAGTGGTTTTACCTAAACCGTTAAATATAGGTGTTTGATAAATTTATATATTTCGAAACCGCTACAACTAAAGTGTTT